AAATGCTTTTCAGTTGCTGAAAACCCTGGAGAAGTTGTTAGCTTTATTCATTTTATGTATTTATATATGTAACCCACAGGTCAAGGGAGGTGGTTCTCCCCCTCTGTTCCACTCTCATGAGACCCCACCTGGTCCATCTGGAGATGGGTATCCAGCTCTGGGGTTCCCAGCATAAGGCAGCCATGCACCTATTGGAGTGAGTCCAGAGGATGCATGAAGATGATCAGAAGGCTGAATACCTTTCCTATGAAGACAGGGTCCTCAGCCTGGAGAAAAGAAGGCTCTAGGGAGACTTTATAGCAGCCTTCCAGTACCTAAAAGGGCACAAGAATGCTGAAAAGGAACTTTTTACAAGGGCATGTAGTGACAAAACACGGGGTGACAGGTTTAAATAAGATATTAGGAATAAATTCTTCATTAGGAGCACAATGAGGCACTGGAACAGGTTGCCCAGAGAAATTATGGATGCTTCATCCAGAGATGTCCCATCTCTATTAGTGTTCAAGGCCAGATTGGATGGCGCTCTGAACAACTGGTCTACTGAAAGTTGCTCCTGCCCACAGCAGGAGGGTTGGAACCAGATGAGCTTTAAGGCACCTTCCAACCCAAATCATGCTGTGATTCACATATGACAAAGCATTAGGCTGAGTGGTACAGGACAGCTCTTACAGTATTGGATGTCTAGAACCTTAGAAGAAAACAACTGCCGATAACATTATTCTCTGGGGTAGTAGATAAAGCAGTAATTTATTCCTTTTCTTTCCCTCCCTTCTATCCCCAGGTGCATTGAAATACAATCAACAAACTTAATGATGGCTTTTATCAGTCCATGCTTTTTCAGAAATTTGTCTTCTTTTATGTCTGTCTAGATCTAAACCCATGAAAAATCAATATCAGAGGACTAAAATATAAAAAATTTGGGTTTTGTACATTCTGAATCTTTTTAATGGCTGAATAGAAGAGGAAGCAGATCTGTGCCCATGAGCTCCAGAGCCAGGGCCATGCTGAGCAGGAAACACCTCAAAGGTAGCATACACAGTATGAAGCAACCATAAGAACTGCTGAGCACTGCAGTATGTCTTTATTCATGGCTGCATAAATACCCTTCTCCCTTGGGACATGCCATCTGAAACCCTTACCTGAATGCAGACATTTCTGTCCTTTCTTTGAGGGACGCTATTCTCTTTTAAAACACACCAGGAAATGGGGTCATGCTCCCTTTTATACAATAGCCTAATGGCTTGAACACTTGCTCAGGAAACAGGAAAAGTAGGTTCCTTTCCTTGCTCTGTCAGAGGGGATCCAAGCCTGCTTCTTCACCTTTGCTGGGCATGTCCTACGCCTTAGCTACAGGCTGCTATGTGGAAGACAGCACTCTCCGGCCTTCCTGTTGAAGCTGTCCTACTTATTACTCATAAAAATATTGGGGGTTAGAATAAAGACTGCCTGCTCTCTACTTGCCAGCAACTTGTCCGTCTCCAGACTTTAACATACACATTAAAGAGTCATTAGATCAAACAGAGAAGGAGACATAATCATACAGCAGCAAAGGCAATAGCTTTCAGCATCATAGCTGCTAACTTAGTCACATGAATTTTACTTTACGTGAAGTCTTTAGATCCAGTATAAAGGCTTTAGGCACGTTGACAAAGCCTTACACAGGCTCAAATATCCAGCAAGACAAAGCTGCCTATAGAGATTGATCAATTAACTAAATGTGAAGAAAAAGTAATGGGGGGCACATCAGCAAAAGATCCATTGAACTCACTTCAAATATTATTTTGATAAAAGCTATAAAGCTGATTAACACATTCCCTGGGAATTCAGAGATGTGATAGTGAATGTTTTCTGAAATCTATACTGGCAAGAAAGTTAATCTCCCAGAAACTGCTCAGTCATTTTACCCAATCCTATGGAATTTGTTCTAACTCAATGAATCAAAAATCTTTGAAGAGAAAAATGGGAACAAAGAGTACAGGAGATTTTCAACAGAAAATAACATTTTCAAAAAAGACAAGGGAATCTGGTTGGAATAAATACTCATAGCAAGTAAAAATCTGCACAATAGGAATGCCAGAAAGGTTGGATTATTTACACAGTTTCCAGGCAAATCCTCTCCAGGTACTACAAAACACACTCCCAATATTTGAATACCTGTATATGAAGCCAAATGTATATCCCCAATTTTGCTGACTAAACCCCTAAAGGCTGCATTTAGGATAGGGAGGGTGTTTTTCAGCTGTGGGTGAGGTTTAACTTCACTTCTGTGACACAAGTCCAAAAATGGATTTGATTTCTTTTTCCCAGCCCTCAGCAAAGGGACCACATCCCTAGATCTCTACAGATATGATAGGAGATACTGTATTTTCCTGCTGTCAGACATTCCCATTGCTTTTTGTTTGCCTTTGTTACGAATGCAAACTATGGGGCTCCATAGCATCCCTCACTACTACAAATCTTCGTATACCATCATCTCCAACTGACTACTGTGAGCCAGATCAAAGTCAATCATCTTCATCCTCTGGTTTCCGTGTGCAGTTCCATGGCCTGAGACCATAAATCTATTGATAATTTCCAGCCCAGCTACAACAGAACAGTTTGCTAAGTGCAAGGGGATCAATAAATCAGATCCTAAGCCCAGTTCATTACTATTTCAAGTTAATTACAAAGGGATTATTTTTATTTAGCCCAGTACCTATACAAAATAATAGTGTTAACATGAACAAATTATTCAGGTTCAGTCCCCTCTCATGTCACACAGGAGTTTGACTGAACCAATTTTAACTGGAGCGCCAATCAATACAATTCCTTGTTGTGGCAGGAGACGCCAGCCATTCAGAAGCATGAGAAAAAACCTTCCAAAATAGATATAGGAGTAATAGAAACGTGTGGGTACAAAGGGGATTTTCAAATGTTCTTTTACTTGGTTTAAGAACCTCACAAAGCTGCTATGAATCAGGAGTGGGGGAGGAGAAAGCATAAAAATATTAATCAGTTACTTATCTTCTGACACGTTCTGGATCAACATCTGGTGCATGTGCAATTGATGAAGTACAGCATTTGCCACAAAAGCTTATTTAATCTTCTATTCCCAAAATGACCAGGAAAAACTATCACCCTTAAAAATTAAGCTTCTAGATCCAGATTTAGTTTTTTTTTTCAAATAAATAGCCAACATCTATATAGGCTGTCTATTCTATTTTGGAAAATGTTTTTTGTCTGAGAGAAGACTGACCATAAGTAGATTATCTATGGGCTGCTTCCTACCGCTTTTTGTCTCCCCTGCAGTATCTTACTGCCAGAGTTTAGTAGACAAGTATAGTCTAGGTTCAGCTGTTTTATTTCTCATTCTATAAGTTCAAACTGAGATAGCTCACACATCTGTTTTATTTCTGAGAGCACAGCAAAGGAAAAGCATCCAGCTCATTCTAACCAAGCATAAACTTTCCTATAAATAACTAAGGACCTAACGAAACAATTGTTTGGAGGAAATGAAAGTGTGTTTAGAAATTCAAATTCCTCTATACTGTATGTCTGAGCTGTTCAGCATGGATCAGTTGCTCTAAGATGCTGTCCCTGGAGTCAGCAAACTGAAACTATAGCAGGAAATCCAGGTATTAACATCATACTTTGTGCTAATTATAAATCATCATTTCACAATCTGACATTATTCACTTCTAACCTCTTTTAACTACATCACATATTTGCTTTCTAATCAGAGTTTGACAGGAGAGAGTGTCTGACATGAGAAAGATCTTTTAGTAAGACAGCAGTTCAAAGATTTCAGCTCTTACGCATAGTAACGACCTTAGTTTGATTTGCTGTTCCACAAAGAAATTGTAGTTTCTTTAAAAAGAGGAAAAGTTTAAATCATCTGAAAAGCTTCAAGTTCCTGACTTCTTTTCTGATTTTGTTTCTTTATTGAAGTTAGATGTTATCCATCTTAACTTGTCCTGCAAAATTTCTTTCCTATAACCATGGTTTCTGCAAATATAATTAAATATTTTCACCTTTCTACCTTTTTAATATACCCTGGGAGTTCTATCTGGTGATTACTACAATGTTTCCATGTATGAAGTCACTTGAAAGTGAATGGACATTTGAGTATGTATTGCATGCAAACTCCATTACTTTGGTTTGATTTTTCTTAAAATCTGAATTTTTGTATTATGCAGACTACTGAAATATCCTACTGTATCTCTCAGCTCAATCCAAAGAATTTTTTGAAATCACCATCAATTTTTTTTAAGTTTAAATTAATTAAATATGAGCTGATAAGGAACTAAGAGAGTCCATGAAAAACTTTTGATTTCACTCTTTCATGGTAAAAATAAGGTGGGTTTTTTTTTTCCCCAGCAGTAGCCATAGTTTTTTTTTTCCTACTTCAATGTAGATGAGAATGACTGAGGCAATAATCCTTTTCTTACAGGCTTACTAAATGAAGGACAGCATGGATTACTGTTACTTTTTGAAATGTTTTAAATATCCATTGTGTATCCTGTTTTTCTGGCACTAGACAACTTCAGAGCTGCCAAGACTTGCCATTTATTTTATCTTAATAAGGAATCAATAAGCCAAATCTTGACTCCCAGCAGCTGATAATTTAGGATTACATTTTTAATTTCCAGCTGCTGTCTTTTGTCTATCTGGTTGTTATTTTTCATTATTATTTGCTCTTTTCTTTCTGTGACAGTAAATCCTTCAGATATGATTACCAATTCAGCTGTTTGCCTGTTTGCTGAATAAGATCTCTTGCTATTGATTACCATCCTACTAAATCCTAAATCCTACACAGAAATGTCACTGGTCAAAAAGCCCAGTACTGCTCTACTGTACAGTAGACCTGCAGCAAGCCTGGCTAAAATAGACAAAAACGGTTCTAGAGGCTTAAGCAGGTCATATGAAATACAGGAATGACGTAGGTAGGAAAGGCTTTGAAAGATCTGGCTTTCAGCTGAGAAGGCAGCGAGCAGAAGTGGGGAGGCTGGGAGCATACAAACCTGCACATCGTAAGTCCCATTTAATAAGACAGGCCTCTGGGAATTGATGTCCTGCAGTACCCCTGAAAGCACAGTGCGGTTGACTTTCTGGAAGTCTTTGGAGTGGCTGAATTGCACCATGTTGTGGAGAGCCAAAATTTTAGTGTCGAGCTCAGCATCCTGCCTGGTGCGGTTGTGCAGTCCTAGGTGGTACTTGCGGAAGTGTTTGATGAGATCTGTGGGGTCGTTCCCGTAGTAACCATACCCACAGATGTTGCATTTGAAGTCCTGAAGCTCTGGAGACAGAGGCGCTGTATCTGGGTTATCATTTACCAACAAATCTGCTTTTGATTTGTTCAGCCTTAAACCCCCATCTGAAGGCACTTGTGGGTTTTTTGAGGCCATGGGGACCGGGCTCGAGCCTTGGCCATCAGTTTGACCACTTTGCACTTGCACTGTTTCATCTGAAGCTTTTGGCGACAGCCGATGCTCCTCATTTGTCTCCGCTGCATCTCCTGAAGGGGTACAGACCACATCTTGGGTGTCATCTGCATCTGATTTTTGAGGAGACTTCAAGGGCTCACAGATTCCCCCAACAGCTGGAGATGAGAAAGCCAGCATATTTCTGTCTGTCACCTCATCATGAGGGAAGGATGGAACATTTCCTCCCTTATTGTGGCTTTCATAATTGAAGCCAGCCTTTTCACTCAGCACTGAGCTTTTCAAGTCCTTTTTAACACTGGAAGATGGCTCTTGGACATGCATGCAAAGTTCCTCCTTGTTACTTAACTCTGCCGCATCACCCTGGTCAGTGTTTTCTTGCATCTGCTCTGCAGAAAACTCTTTCTTCCTTCCAGACTCTTCGCTTTCAGTACCTGTAGACTCAAGGGTCTGTACCTCACCTTCACTAGCAACGTTTCTTAGAGGGGGATTCTTTTTCCGGACCATATCTACCACAGAAAAAGAAACAAGAAAGGGGAAAAAAAAAAAAGAGAGAAAGAAAAAAGAAAGAAGGGAAAAAAAAAGAAAAAATAACCTATAGAATTATTCAAGATATACAAAATATGTAACAGATTACAAACCTCACACTTTTAAAAGCATTCTGAACTATATGAATATATTGAGTGCATCGACTTTTCATAAAATTTTTATTGAACAGGTTTTTAAACTATGCAGAAAACTTTTAAAAAATTAGCACAGTGAGAATAAAGAGAGAACTGTAAAAAACCTACAAAAACACCTCCATGAAAGCCAGTGAATTACAGGTTTCATTATCTTCTGGGATGATAATGATTTGGGAGGAAGAATTTTAAATGAACACTTCTTTAAAAATAATTTTAAAAATCTAAGGGGAAAAATAAACTTTTGAAGTCTAATGTTCATACACAGTACAGCTACCTATAACATAGCTTTGCAAAAATACACCTAAAAGACATAATCTTAAGAAGAACTTAGACAAGTTATAAGGAAGAAAACAGATTTAGGAGAGTAAGTACTTGAGGTTTCAGAGAAAGTATTTTCCTAAGCAGGTATCAGTTTCTCTATAGTAAGTTTCCCTTCCTACTGCCCATAAACTTCAAACAGGATTATACGGATATTCTAGAGTCTGGCCCCACAGTCCATTATTCATGTAATTAGTTCTATTTGCCAAACAAAGAAAAACTAACTTTATTAGGAAACGCGTTGTCAATAAAACTTTACAGGCCTGGATCCAGACATTTGACATCACTGTGTGGCTGAGCCAGGATCTGTCCTGAAAACACCTGGAATCCACATGGATCTAATCAGCCAAACCTTTCTCTGTTCAGTCCTCCTTGCAGGCATAGCCACTACTGCAAAATCTGCAAGTACACTTCCAGAACCCATTTAAGAAAGCTGAGACAGGACAGCAAAAAGGATCAGAGAGAAAGGGGGAATCTGCCACCGATGAGTTAGCTGCTTTCTGAACAGGGGAGATTATGGAAGCACAAGAAATCACACTATGCAGGTACTAAGTCAAATTCTTCATCCACTTCACCTTCCCCACCCTATTTAAGAGAAAATATATATATGAAACTCCCCTGCTTTCTGCACTGTGTGCTTCTGGATTTGATATTCATCACCAGCTGGTTTGATCCATTTGTGTTCACATGCTAGCTATGGGCAGAAGACAGATGTGCCCCAACTTTTCTAAGCTCTTAATCTTTGCCAATGCTGCATACAAGGATGGATGTTTCTCTTTTCCAAATTGTGTGTGGTCTGGTGGCAGCAGCCGGCAGTACCACACGAGATGTGAGCTACAGACTCAAGTCTGAGCCCCCATTCCCAGGCCAGCCCTGGCTGGGCCCTACAGAGGCACTGGAGATATATATTGCTCTGCCAAGGGAGGACCACCTGGCAAGTCTGGGAGCAGCACTGATGTGCTCCAAATGGTGCTGTCTCCAGACCTTTGAAAGCCACAGACAACCTTCTCAAAAGAGTACTTTGAGAAGCAAGGCTGGGGACAGAGGTTAAAAATAAAAGAATAGGCATCTGTACATCCTCTTATTTACATCTGCTCCACATGAAAGGGCACTATATGCTCTGTTGATAAAAACAGACAACTTCTTAGGGGAAATGTTCAACTTGTGTCTTGGGCTGGCTCTGTTGTCTTTGCGGTTGAGCTGATCCACAGCCAGCATGGGCTACAGCAAGGCAGCTTTCACACAGAATGGCAGCTCGTGTTACAGAAATTTTGACACTCCGTGTGGTCTTAATAGGTTTCTTAAATGCCTACTGTGATTCCTTACTGTAGAAGACATGTATGCTTGGGAACCAAATGTCTTCTCTTTAATATCAACTACACCTATCAGGGAACGTATGAACTAAGTTGGAGTGTTTTCTCCCCCCAGTAACTTCTGAACCATGAAGTCACTCAGAATTCAGAGAAAATAAATATTTTCTGCTGTGGTAAGAGAACTATTACAATATAGACTCAGACTACTAAAACAACATGCACATATATATAATATATAATTCAAGGTATAAAGATAGTCATCAGCCTTTCAGCATTGCTACTTCTCTGTGAGACTCCATGAATGCTCTTGGTTAACACACACTAAAAATATCTGTGAGCATCTCTGGTAGGTGTTCTGCTAAGTATGTACTTTTCTCCTGGTTACACGTCCAAAACCATTTTTAAAATAACTTCCGTTTAAATGCAATTCGTGGCAGACGACAGAGAAAGAAGTCTTGGCTGCGCAGTGAAGAAAAATCAGAAATTGAGAAAGTAAACATCATGACTGTTACCTCAGTCAAAATTAAACAACTCTAAATGCAATGTTCTAAAATGTTTTTGTTACAGATATTTTTGGCAGATAAGGAAAGCTTAGAGATTTGCTATCTTCGTGACAACTGACAGAAGAGAGTCAGAGAAAAGGACAGAAAAAAAGTCCCTTTAAAGAAAAGAAAAATCTGCACTGTATACAGGCTAACTGGACAGAAGATCTAGCTACTTTAGTCCTAATTTTCCCAATACATTTGTGAGTCTGGGTTGTTAATGGAGGGGGAAAAAAGAAAACTGTATCTGCTTAATGGAGCTTTTTCATGCATACTCTACACTTGGAGAAAGAAAGGAAAGAAGATAACATTGACTTCCTTAAGTTGAATTTAAAAGTATTTTCCCTTCTTTTTTCTTTTAGCTTTTGAAAAATCATCTGTCATTTATTTGTTTGATATCCACTCAAGGGGACAGTAAGAAAAGACACAGGGATTTTTTTGTTGCAGAAATTCCATCACTATCATTTTTACAGAGACATATTATGTAAATAAAACTACATTTGCAATACTCCTAAATTGAAGAAACCATCCCCTAGCAAGTCATAAGTTAGATACAGAAAGAATATAGCCACTCTGAAATTATTATCTCTAAGACAAATAACAGATTGCACAATGTTTTATTGTGTGCCAAGAACGTTTTCAGTTAACAATTTCACTTGAAAAAATAGATCACATACTTGTAAAATCATACCCAGCATTGACTTCATAAGGCATGTGGCTTTAGAGTGCTTTTTACAATTATTAATTCTATTAGTCAACTAGCAGGCGGGCTAATGCAATTGTCTTAGAAGATGCACGGAAGACACAGAAGACATTTTGAGAGCTGATCTGTATATCTGCAAAACAAAACAAAAAAAAAGGTTTTCCTTCCTAAATTATGCATTCAAAATACGGTGTTTACTTAAAAACTTTATTATACCTGCTGTACATTCCCATGCATCTATTACTGGGCACTATACTGATAGAGTCTGCTGTTCTCTGTTTCCCTCAAACATGAGAAATCCCATAGCTCTCTTCTCCTCAGACACACATGCTCTTGCACACACACCCACTCACACAAAAAGACAAAAAATATCTCAGAGGTAATATTTACCAAACACAAAGTCTAAAACAATAAAGGAACTGTTGAAAATGAGCTGTAGAAAGAAAGTCTCTTAAAAATTCACATGCAGCATCATGGGACTGGCCTAATGGGATAGTTAATGGCATCAAAATAACTCCATTAGCAGTTGTAGTTAACTTCTGCTGGCTGCCTTGTGCTCCACTTCAAACAAAATTAGTGGTTTTACTTTTCTTGTTAGCAGGCAACTTCCCACATCTCTACAATGCCATCGCAATAGTAAGCATATTTGTTGGGTGCTAGTAAAGAAGCTAAGTGAAGAACAGGCTTTGGGACTGAACTACCTTTTCACCAATGAAAATAGTGATCTCCCCAAAATAAAAGAATTACTAAGCCTGATGTGAATGAAAGGACTTCTCGAGCTGAGGGAATTTTGGATAAGGCCCAGGTTGCAGCTATATGTACTTTCCCTCAAAAACAGCCAAGGCTACTTTATGTGATTCATACATCTGCAGACTTCTGTTCAACAGTCACTCACATCAGTTTATCCCTGGAAACAAAAACCTCTGCTAAAATCAGTTTGTATTTGAATTACCATAGTGACTACTGTACTTCTTAAAAAAAACCAAAACAACAACAACAAAAAAACTAACGAATTCTGGTAATCAATAGTTTCTTAAGAGTGGTGAAGATAATGGCTAATTACCTGCTGATCACCAGCTCCCCAGCGGGTCATTGTTGTTGCTCATTACTTTTACTGAATGTGATGGTTTGTCATCAAAGCCTATTGCAACAGAATGGTTGTCGCCTGGTGCTTGTGCTGCAGGTTTAGGTCAGATCTTAGTCATATGCTCTTTTTAACAGAATAATCCATCTAGAAATGTGTTTGAATTTTATGAGATGCCACTGACTAATCTTTGTATAAGCAGATGCACAAGCAGACCAAGAACAAACTGAGTCAAGGGTATATGAAGACTGATATTATCAGTCAATACGCTGCAGCAACAAAAAGTTAAATGAAAATACACATTTATATTCAACAGGCTCAAGTAGGACACCTTTGTTAAGGGATAGTAAAATTAATACTTTTACACTCATATATATTACACACCCACACAAAGACATATAATGCACATATAGCGCTTGAACATCAATCATTTTCCCAGAATAATGCAGCAAAAAATCATTAACTCTCAGTGTCTCAGCTTAATATATGTGTAATACTTACCTATCTCACAGGAGTGTTGTGAGGCTTAATTAATTAGTGACTGTAAAGCACTTTGTGATCCTCTAATGAAAGGTGCTACATAGCATAAAGTATTATTAAAATCATTAGGACCACAAAAAAGCCCTGTGGAATTCCAGCCTACACTGTCTGTTGGGGTTGGGAGTGATTTTATTATTAAAAGGAGACCATCAGACTAATTTTCATAATTTTTTCAAGATTTTTTCCCCCTTTGCTGTTGTGATAGCACGTTAGTAACTAGAAATTTAATCTTTATCATCTTAATAATATACACTCATGCAGTTTGTTACTGCGGGGCTAGAGAAGAGATCAGGGCTTTTGGCATTCATCTGGCTTTCCCTTTTAAGAAAAAAAAAAATAAAAAAGAGATTGAGAGACATATTTTGACACCTTCCCACACTCCACTCCAGCAGGACAGCCGATCATGTGAGATTGCAGGATACTTGCTATAGCTGCATGGGAAAACAAGGCTGTGGTTTTAATTTCTCTCCTTTTCTCTATAGTTTTTATTTCACAAAAGAAAAAAAAAAAAAGAAAAAAGAAAAAAAAGAAAAAAAAAAGAAGAAAAACAGAAAAAAAAAACAAGACACAAAACAAAACCCAGTTTATTACACATAAATAGACTACAAAGACTGTCTGCTGTTCTTCATATAAAAACCCCTAAGTGTTCAAAGTGCCGGCTTCTATCAAGCACATAAAGTCCTAATCAATCTGGAGCCTCCTCCCTACTCTCCATACAACAATCGAGCAGCTGTAAGGCACACGAGCTCCGAAGCCAGCAAGCTCCTGTTTTGAGAGACTGAATTTCTGGGAAAGCATCTCTGCGGCGGGCTCCGTCCCTGGGGAGCCGCCCGGCACCCAGCCCTCCTGGGCAGCCTGTCCCACCGGGCTGGCCCAGACCTGTGCACAGCACAACCAGAAAGTTAACAAGCTCATTAGTACAGCCCACAATTCAAAGACCTGCCGTGTTTTCTAATTTAAGCGTTTTTTAAAAAGTATTAAAGAATCTGTAAATGACACTGGAGACTCCAGATGAAATTGCTGCCCTCACTGAAAATTAGATTACATTATATGCAAACTACCCCAGACGCAGACACAGTGGCAGAGGACTGGCCAAAGCTGCTGCCCTTCTACCTTCCCTTGTAGATACCTGCACAATTAAATGACTGAAAAGAGATATGTACGGCTTCACATCCCCACCATCTCCGGCTGGGACACGGAGCAGGAGGCAGTCACACACGATGCTTCTCTCCCATTTTTGTTCGTGGCTGTCAGAGCAAGCCTGCCAGCAAACAACCAACAACACATGGCCCTCCCTAACTTTTCTCTGCTGAGAAGGGAAGGAAAGAACAACCCCTTTTGTGAAAGGAACCCAAGAGTCAGGCCCTAAACATGGGAGAGCAGAATAAGCTTAATGACAAGCAACTGCCTCTTCAACAAGACCACCTCCTCTCTGCTTTGGCACAAGTGTCTTCATACACCATACAAGACAGAAAATGTCACAGCTCCAAGGAACTGACAAGTTAATTCCAAAGGAGTTTTTAATCTATACATGTTTTTCTGCAAGCCCTCAAACTGCATAGCCACTCTTTCCTTCCTGAAATTGCTAAGGTATAACATGATTCCTCGTATCCATAAAATTAGGCAGGATCAGACATTGTTATTGGACAAAATGCATCTGTTTGATATTTTACACTCCGCATGCTCCACTGAAATTATGATAGTTTCATCAATCTAAAAAGTGTAAAGAGAAAACCATGCCTTAAAATTTGCATTAGAGAACAGTATTATAGCAAAACACTCTTGTTTTTTCTCCTCCTCTCCTACTCTTTTGCATTTTCAGGCTCTTCAGTTTAGCCCCTGATCACCAATTTGCCAACGGCTGTTTGTAATTTTTTTCCCCACAAAGTCTACAACAAAGAGATGTGAAAAGAGCTTTGGTCTGTTCAAGCTTGCTCCTTCCCATTTACATTTACTTTCCCAACATCGATCATTTCCAAATCTCTAAAGGTGCACTTTTGGACATTTTAAATCCTGTTCAGCTACGAAGTGCCATCACCTTCAAACAACTCTCATCACATAAATCTCTTATTAATTCACGTTGAATTAATTCACAATGATCTTTTCCTATTACCTTATGCTTCAGAGCACAGCACACATCAGTAGTCATCTACCCACTGGAATAAATCTAACCTTTTCTATGGGTATAAAGCAGACACTTGGTCATTTCAAGAGAGTTTAGGAATGGCATTTCAACATAGATTGTTTAAACCAACTTCCAGGCACTTATTTCATTTTAAGCTCACTCCAGGGGTAATCACACAGACACTTTCAGGAGAAACTGAAGTCAAAAGGTGATGTGTCTAAAGAGGTGACATCAAGGAGAATTTTATGCTATCACATTTTATGCAACCAAAATGAAGAACTCCAAAACTGGTTTTATTTACAAGTTCCTGAGTACAGCAGGTTGCTGCTCTGCATTTCTTACTGGCCTGCTGCAGACAGCTTGTTCCTACCTTCCCTCCACTGCCACCCATCCAGGATGGGAGAGCCCAACAAGGCAAGATTCACTTTGGCCTTGCTTCCAATCAAGTATCTAAAAGCACTCTGTACACATGACAACTAATTAAAACTCAACAAAGCTTGTGGAACAGGAAAAGTAACATCACTGCCATTTTATGGATAAATAAAATTATCTACAGAGAAATGAAAAATTCAAAGCCTTCAAGGTGGCGTGCAGGCAGAGTTCTTGGCTAGTTACTGAACCTGTGTTCTCTAGATGTCCAGGCCCATATCCCTCTCCTGTATGTATTTCAGCAAAGAAAGCATCACCCTAGCACTTGGCAAAAGGCCAAGATCCTATAATTTAATAAGGTACAGAAGGAGCATCTCATGCAAAAATCTAAGTGCCCCAATTTATCATGACAGTTATGGGATAAGCTGACATTTTATTTGTATGTAAATTAGTCTCCAAAACAGCATTAAAAGGCCGTACTTTCAGAGAATATTATGCCTTTGCTTCTCTGTTCTGCATTTATCTAAACTCAGCTTTGTATATTAAAAGTATTTTAATTTTTATGTATTGATGCTGCTTTGCATGCTCCCCAATCTACTTTTATTGCACCACGGAGAGAATTCAGCCTGATTTGCTTACTGCAACAAAGTAACTGACTTCTGCCAGGACTGACACCTCCTACGAGAGCCTGCCTGCCTTCCCATCAGAATCTTCTGGGTATTAATTATCTGTTGTTACACTTTATAGGATGCAGAACATTCCCTATTAGATGAAACCAGAGGTCCATTTTGTCTGGTGTTCTCTTTTGGAGGTAACAGATCCTTCAAAGAAGGTTCAGCTGCCTTTGGATAGAATCACCTACTTCTGTGAAAAATACATTGCTCCTAATCCTCAATGCTTATGACAGTGACTTACTTTCTGAAGAGTAAGAGGGTTTGTAGGGCTTAATTATCTCTTAACATTTTACAATTTGTTTTTAAGGAAGTCTTATATATATCCCCACATCCAATAAAAG